TATACTATAACAATGATAAATATTTAACTTAGTTATGAATACGGTTGAAAAATTCATTTCCAGAAATTAATACACAAAAATACTTGTGGAAAAATGTTTGTCGAAGCGTGAAATGATGAAATGTAGACTTCAAAGCTGTGTAAATTATGATAGACACCAGTTTGAATTGTATAGTATTGTGTTAGTAAATATAATTGTACAGTATATATAATCTCAATAAATGTTATCATTTACTGTCCATCTTTTGGTTCATCCTATATGTAAGTATAGCATTTTCATTTTTATACGCCTATTTTTTTATTTATTATACTTTGATATTATAAAACTTCTGTATATAATATTGATGTTTACGCTATTTTTTTATTTTCGAGAAATACTTTTTTTTAAATAAACATTCGTAAAAATTAAATTGTTTCTTAGAAATTTTATCGATTTATTGTTTCCTTATCAAAAATTGAGAAATTTATAAATTTATTATAAAAACTTTTAAATACATTCTTTAGGTAAATTAATTCAGCAGTTATAGAACTAATATTAATAAAAACTAAAAAATTCATTCCAAAAAAATATGGTTTTTTACTGGATTCATTTTAAATTCGTTAAATATTTTTCCCCAAAAATTCCCTCGAAGAAAAATGTCTAATGTCAACACTGTATGTGGGTCCCCTAATTCAGATTTGCCTTGGCTCTCACTGAAGCGAAGCTTTAACGCGCCACTGCCACGTGTTCGTGTCTCTTCAACGGGCTGACCGTGTAGAATTTTTATGGATTTTCTTCACGTATCTAATGCCAACTAGGAGCCAGCTTTCCACAGAAAGTCCTCCTGGGCGACACCCGTCCTTAGTAGATCGCCCATGTGTTGCATCGCCTAATCCCGTCAATCCAATCCAATGAATATTTTTGATGAGAAATTCGTAGTAAGAATTAAATAACTCCTTAAAAAGTTAATAGATTATCCATTACTAGTACTTAATGCCAGGTTTTAATTATTAAATAAGCAAACATCAATATTAGTCGTGTCTTTGTCGTCATTTCAGTGATGACATAGTGTGTGATATCAATCTAAATAAGGTTAAACATTCGAATATTTGAATGCTTGTCAGATCACGAAAGGAATTTTCTTTGGAGCGTTTTCAAGTCGTGTTTATACAGTTTTCTTCGATACTGATGTTCCAATGGAAGCAGAGCGATCACGATAAAGTTGTCTGGCTATTATCTTTCTATGGCGCGGGCAGTTAAAGCCAGTTGACTATCCTCATGTGGGGTCGTTGATCTTGATCGAACTTTTCCTGGTATTCTGGTAATGGTTCCTGTTTTTTCACATTAGCGTCCACAGTATGCATTCTACTTTTCTGGACACTTATAACCATCTGGTCCTATGATTATCCTCCATTTCAATACGTCATTTGACGATAATGCATTGCCATTTTATAAAAATTTGATTGACCTGACCACAATCACAAAAAGTCGAATCAAAGGGTTCGCGACATTCTCATTTTTTCTTTGTAGTTTGCATGCTTCCTCGGTTATCACTTCCAATTGATATGATAATTCAATTCGTCATGCAGTTTTACTGATTGCAGTTTCAATTTATTGTGCTAAACGTGGTTTCTGCCTTAATTTTGGACAATATTATACAAAAGAATCTCATGATATCCCGAAGTGGTGAAATCTGGTATAGAAAACTTCAAAATTATATAGCAAGGAGTCCGGAATACATCAGGAATTTCCTTAATCACTTTTCATCATGTTTCATGTCAGCAGTGCCCGAACTACGACAGCAAGGCCAAATTTGGATCGTGGCACAATTAATTAGGCCCGTGAACTTACTTGATACATCACTTATGACCATTCAAGCGGTTTATGAGGAAGGGAGGATTCGTTTTTATCTGACGATTGCTGACAATAGGGAAGGGAGGGTAAGTCGTTGATGACGTAAGATTGCACCTGTCGTTTATTTTTTTCTCAGTAATTAAAAATTGTCTGAAAATAATTCCTGTGTTTTTGCAAATGGTTTCAACATCTTGCCTAATGACATTATCAGAAGAAGAGAATATCTTCATTTCTATAATTGAAGATGATGGTGAAGAGGAGAATTGCGAGTATTTATTGATGTAATACTTGAGCGGTTCCTACTAAGCGATAGAAAACTTTTTGTATGCGTGAAATATACAAAATATTTGTGGCCTGCCTACGTGTGACTAATACGCAGTTTTTCCTGCCAATCGGAAAGTTTGGGCGCACCACTGAATTAAATTCCAAGTTCCAGAAGAACCTTACATTTATAATCGGATTTCCTGGAATTTAAGATATTTTTATCTAAAATCTTGTGTAAATATTTTCGAATTATAAGAAACACATATAATAAATTTTATCAATTGTTTAGGAAGTTGTTGGAAGCATTTTTGCACAAACTTAAAAAGAAAAAGATACGCATTAACAGTATATTCACTATAGAATTTCACTATTAACAAATTACTATTGTTGTATTAGTAAAATTTTATTATTATTGCTACGCATGTGTCATTCGGTGAGAATTATTGTAAGCATTTCTGGAAATGTGAAAGCCATCAACGACTAATTGCAAAACAAAAATATTTAATTGCTGTAATTTAAAATGATTTCCAAGATTTTTATATTTTTGGACTCGGGACTGAAACGTCGAGAAATAGAAAAAAATTCGGGTATTTTTTCTGTATGGATGTGTGGGGGCACCATTTTGTTCACCCTGTTTAAAGCTCAATATCTCTTATGCTTTTTGTAGAAGATTTCTGAAACTTAGCAGGGAGGTTTGTTTATTATGGATATTAATGCTGTTAAAATTTTGGCAACTAAAGGTCGAGGGGCGAGGAGATAAAGAGGATCGTGTGTATCTCCATTAGAGTCAGACTTAATGACGATTTTACTCGTTATTATCATTTACAATTTTTTATAAAACCCATCCTTATTGTCAAAATTCAGCTTTTTTATGGAAAGATGGGGACCATTTTGCCATTTTATAATAAAAATATAAAATATTTTAAATAATAAAATATCATTATAGATGACACCACTAAATGTTGCGAGAAAGTTAAGCAACTTGTTACTGGATGTTTTTCTACTTCTACGTTGTATGATTATTGACAAAATATAACATTTTACCATGTAGAACACAAGCCTTTCAAAATATCCATGTCCATTTCTCATCTAAGATGGCGAGTGACTAAACTGGAATTGGCAATTTTTCAGATTATAAGGCCGTCTCCTATAATAAACAAAATTGCAGCTATATATATCCGTACAGTATTCTAATATTTTGTTATTCTATTAATAAATCAAATCATTTTTCACCGATATTCAACAGGAAGGCAAGTTTTATACTTTTTAGGCATAAAGGTCATGGCTTTACGAAAATCAAGAAAAGATTACCAAACTATGAATAACATAAATAATAATTTTCTCATTCATATTTTGGTAGTTTATTAAATATTTATGGCGATATTTAGAAAGTATTTTAAAAAACGTTCTATATTTTTTAATCATAACGGTATCTGTAATGCATTTGGGCCACGTTTGACAGTTGTTATTTTTCTTGATAATAAAACTGAATTCAGCTGTCAACATCGTCTCCATTGAATCTTTTTCAGGCAATCAATCTCGTCGCAGATATTTTATAGAGAACTTAATCCTGTAGTAAAAAGCACGAATGTCACATAAATTACTTCATACAAATTATCATACAATATTAAATAATAATTATTATTATTATTATTTTGAGGAAAAATATTTGGTAAATGCATAATTTTTAAGGATAAGAATTCGATTATATTGTTGAGTTTTTATAATTAATTTGTTTTCAGAGTTTCACTCTTAATGTCCTCTTCGTTCTGATTAAGACTTGTAATTAGACCCAATAAATAGAAATTTTGACTTGACATATACTGTAGACTTATAGACAATTCATCAATTATTTCTATTCACTCTAAAGCTTCTCAACAGTGGCCGCCGGTCATTTCTGAAAGATTCAAAATATAAGGGGCCTGTTTTGCAACTTTTCATTAGGCATCATCGCAATATCCACTATTGTTAAATATTTTTCGTGTAAAATTTATCTTGAAATTCTAAACGCGAAGGAATGGAGATAACGCTCAAAGAGATCCTTATTACGTTTTCATATAGATGCAATCCACAAGAAAATTATTGGTCCTATAAGCGGAGGTCGGAGCGAGAGGGATGTAAGTCCACAAATGTCTGGTTTTGTGTTATCAGTGGTTTTCATTTGTGTTTGAGGGATGTGTCCACATCTGTCCTACAATACAAATATACATCAAACCCAACGAAACTTTGTTTTGTATATCTCGAAACGTGGGTGTATGAACTTACATCTTTCTTGAATCCTCTTCTTTATATACGTCTATATATGAATAAATATGTTTATAAATAAATGTTTTATTTGTGAACATTACACGGAAACTGAATGTTTTAAAGCCTTGTGATTTCTCAAGGCTCTCAGTTTGAATAATTTTGTAAAGTTTCTAAATATGAAATAATAATAACTTAAATTTTACAATGGTTGACTAAATTTTAGGCCATTCTACATATCTGCTATCAACTTTATTAACTTTGATTAACAAATAAATCAAAGACAACTAAATAAATGGTGATCCCTCTTGGACACAGTTCTGTCCAAGAGGAATCACCATTTATTTTGCATTTCAGACTACACATACACATTAATGGCGACAGGCCTTCCTTTTTAGGCTTCATGCCGCCAGAAGGTAAAAAAAAAGTCCTTTAAAAAACACAAACATCCAATTAAAATTAAAAAGAATCGGTGACACACAGACGTCTTACTGCTCATCCATCTGGCCAATGGATGGTTCTGTTTTATACCTACTAGAATTAACAACTTTGATTAACAACTTGAAATATATATGTATATATATATTTATTTATATTGAATTATATTACAATTTTGTATTTATTCAAAAATAATTCTTAAACACAATTTTCCATTTCAGGTAAAAGATCTACAACATGATCATATTGTGAGATTTTTCGGAGCTTGTATAGACCCTCCAAACTGTTGCTTAGTAACTGAATATTGCCCAAAAGGAAGTCTACAGGTATGAGATACATTTTAATATACGGTAGAATCTAAAATGTTCATTGTATTAAAGAAATAAAGATAGGAAAATTAGAACCAAATACAAAAAATAGTGTAAAAGATTTGTGTATATATTATCAAACTAGTATAATATATTGCAAATTGGATGAAGACACTGATACAGAGAAATGAAACGTTTTATTGTTTAATCAATGTTTTGAATTTAGTAAGGATATTTCTGTACTTTTTGATCGAATATCACTAATGTTAAATTATCAATATTTTAAAATAAAAGATTCATATTAAATGTTAAAATTTTTATTTTTGAATGGAGTACAAACGTATTTCACTTAAGAATATCCGTCGTTTTTTAGGTCAGGATTACGGTGGTTAATATATTTACAGATAATACATTGCTTTTTGCCCTTGTTACTACTTAACACTTACTCTAAATAAGTAGACACATATACAGACGGACTTATCACACCAGCGAATGAGATTAATTCACAAATTTTTCAATGATAATTAACACTTTATTAATGAACTTTACAGTAATGCTGGTTCTTTTATTGGTTCTCAAAATGCATTTCGGACTATTTATTGTGTCTGAGATGCATTGTGAGTGTTCTTTATAATGTACATGTTAAAAGGTTACTTTTAAAGTTAATTACAAAGGTGTTGATTATCATTAAAGAATTTGTGAATTAATCTCATTCACTGCTGTATATGTATCTATTTATTTAGACTAAGTGTTAAATATTTACAGATATACACAGTAATGAATCGACGTTGATTTATCTTAGCTTATTTTCAGAGTGATATTAGAATTAGAATGACCACTCTCCTACTTTTCGCCCCTCACTTCCGGGCCTTATATAATTTCTTCTGATTGCATTGCTTTTTAAGCATTAGACTACTAAATAAAATAATCAAATTTTCCATCGTTATTCTTCTTCGTATTTATTATATGCTTCTGTTTGTAATTAGTTAAATGTGTTGTTTTTCATTTCAGCAATAACAATTTTTACATCAATATTTTATTATTTATAATATAAAATTCAATTTACAAAACTTTAAAAAATTCGCATTACGTGTGTTTTTACGGAAGAAAGTGGAATGACATGATGAATGTTATAAAGATTAGCCATGTTTACCTGCGCGTGTTTAATGTATCGAGAGAACGATAACAGTGTAATGGTTATAAGGATTAGCATTTTATCCACTTTACTTGATTGCACGGATTATCTTTTTTACCTCTTGTATTTTGTTTAGTGAATATCGCTTCCCTAAACAGACCATACCCGTTTTCCTTTTTACTACACAAAAACTTAATAGGGGGTATTCACGATGGGATTTCAAGCTTTTCTCGCTTTTAGAAGAGCTACTTTCTATAAAGCTATGAACGATAAAAACGCATTCCGACAGAACGGTTTGCAATCATTATTTCGTTTTTGTTGGGCCACTTTTTATTGGTTGGTATCACATTTTTGAGGAGTTTTCTCGCCATTTTTATACCACAAAAAAATTCTGATTTTTCTGTCACTTTACTACGAGGAAACTTTCCGTTAATAATAAAGGGCTCTCAACAGATGAAGAGTCCTTTAGCGCTGCACCCGGATTCCCTAATACATTTGCACATCTCTGTTCCTATAATCGAGATTTCTGATAAATTTTACTAAGGAATTTTTGGAACTTTAATTAATACTCTCCATTACTTTTCTATTTATTTTTACTTATAATAATTTATATTTATTAATAATCGTGAAATAAATAAATTTATAACTTCTTATTGTTTTGTTTTTAATATTTCACAAATAAAATGTATTAACCTAACAATTCTTACAAAAAAAAATTAAATAATAATTTAAGAAAGAAAATTAATTCTTTAAAAAGCAAATATAATTCATATGAAATTTATTTTTTTTACAGGATATTTTAGAAAATGATCAAATTAAATTAGATTGGATGTTTCGTTATTCATTAATGCATGATATAGTAAAAGTGAGTTTAAAACTTGTTTACATTCTTCTAATTTATTATATTAAATTGAAATTTTATTACATTAACTCAAGTTAAATGATGTCATGTCACTTGATTTAATTAACGTCAGAAGAGAGAATTGCTTAAAATCGAATTATTTGTCTCTTTTATTTTTTAAAAGGGTATGGCATATCTACATAACAGTGAAGTACGTTCTCACGGAAATCTTAAATCTTCAAATTGTGTGGTTGATAGTCGATTTGTTTTGAAAATTACCGATTTTGGACTTAATTCCTTGAGAATTTATGATGAGAATGAGAATGAAGATACTTATGCATATTGGAGAAGTAAGTGAAACAATATTTATTGTTTGTAATATATATAAACTAATGTTTATTTAATGAATTTTAAGTATACTTGAAGTTGGATTAGAGTCAAAATACTCGATTATCCGAATAAAAATTTATTTCTTTATTTTATAAACTTTATAATAAAATGGAAATAATGTAGATAAAAGGAAATAAAATGCAATCAATATAAATTATAAAATCGACTGACTGTAGAGATAAAACTAAATATTTTTAGCATTGAGAATGAGATTCTGAAAAACTTCAAATATATTGCTGATAAAATGTTTATACATATTGTTTTAAGCTTAAAACAATTAATAAATTTGTTTGTTAATTTACTATAAACAATATATAAGGGATCTTAATTATACATTTCATAGAAACATTCATTGTTATAAGCAATTATAGAATATTAATGAAAAGTAATATTTTTCATAAAGATATAATGAATTTTCTTTCTGTATATAATGTCTTTAATCTTTAAAAATCTAATGGGACTACTTTTTCCTTGACAAAAAATATACGACTTAATAATATATCTGGAAAATGAATACAGAAATGCAAGGAACTAACCTGTTATATGGGTAGCAAAAAATGTCCAATTTTTTAAGGCAGGTATATAGGTTAGGTTATATCCATTTTTGTTTACGTCTCATAATAACAATAGACAAGTCATAACTGAGTGCTTTTAATTCTTGGTTTCTTTTCCAAGGAGAAAGGTTGTCTTTCTTCCCTTGCTAACATGATACCTCCCGATTTGAAATTTTGAATTTTTGGTGTTTATTGATATTTCCTCTCAGCTCTATCACACGTTGTTTAGTCTAGTTTTCCAAAGATATGTTAACTCTTCTCTGTCAGTTGTATTTGGCATATGAGGAAGCGATGATAACCTGTTACCATCGAGAAAATTTGACGGTGTTAATGATCCTTCATCACAATGTCATGAGGCCAAGCAGTTCCGTTCACTAAACACTGGTAGTTCAGTCGTGGGTTCGCGCCCCGCCAGGAGAGACTGGTCACGTGGAGTTTTTCGGGTTTTCTCCAAGTCTGTAACGCCTGAATAGGGGCCAGTTACCTTTTGAAAGACCTCCTGGAAGACATCCCCCTCGGCAGATTGCCCAAATGTTGCTTTGCCTTCACAAACACAATGTCAGAATCCGTTTCTGATGAAACAATTTATACCATACATAATATAAATTACTATTTATAATTAATATTTTACTGTTGAAATATTAATAAAAGCCAATTTAATGTTCGAAAATGGAGAATAATGCTTTGAGAAAATTTTTTACGTATTCTTTGAGAAGTCAAACTATCTAACTTATTATTGATATATAAATACAGACATCCCTATTCATTGCATCTGTTTTCTTCAGATTTCGTTCGTGTATTGTTGTTAATGTTAACACCAACAAGACGTAATGAATTAAAGATGCGAGACGTAGAACAAACTGCAACGTGACGTAACTGTCGAATAACAAGTTAAACACCGTGACTATTAGAAATTAATCAAATATCAAATTCTAAGCTTTAATTTTAAAATATTTTGAAAGGTAATGTTTATACTGAAAGTATATATAAACAGAGAATTTATTAATATTAGCAAATATTTAAATTATGATTGTAGATTTTATATTCTACACGTAGACTATAGAGGATTCGTTCCCAGCCATCAATGTTTCCTGTCATTTAAAATAATTCTAATTAGTTTAGAAACACTATTCATGATGAACAAATGACATTAAATTAATAAAAGTTGTTGTTTGAATAATTCTAATTAAAACAAGCAATTATTATGACATCGTCATAATGCCGGGCTGCAATTTTTCGTCAGTGTTCTCAATTTTTTAGTATTGTCTTTGCTCTTGCACATTATACTTTCCCTGTAACAATACAGTTGTGCCGTTCATCTATCCAACTCCGTTCTAGGGTAAGTTTTTTTAATCGAAATTACGTGACTTCTGTTATAGAGCGGAAGTGTGTACGTAGTTAATTGAGACTACTGCCCTAGGATTTCCGTATCTAATCTTGGCGTTCGTCTATCTAATTCTGTTCTTGAGGTTAAGAAAGGACAGACAGACAAACAGTAGACAGCGGAAATTTATATATCTACAATTTTTTCAAATTTCAGCCCAATAAGAGATATAAAAAATTGGATATTTTTAAGGCAGGTTTATAAGTTAGAGAGGAAAAAAATTAAGTGTAGTTTACCTTTCCCAAGATTTTTACATTTTTTGGAACACTGAAACCTTGAGAAATTCAAAAAAATTGGGGATTTTTCTGTATGTGTGAATGTTAGTGTGTGGAGGCACGAATTTGTTCGTTCTCTTTTGAAGCTTAATAACTCCTATGCTTTTTCTCATAAATTTCTGAAAGTTTTCAGGGAGGTTTGCATATTATGGGGATTGATTCTGTTAAATTTTGGTGGTAAAAGGTCGAGGGATGGGGAGATAAATGTGGTCCTGTCTATCTCCAGTAGAATAGGACTTAATGACGATTTTACTCGTTATTAGCATTTACAATTTTTTTAAAAATAAAACCCACCTTTACCCTTAAAATTAAGCTTTTTGACATTTTATAATAGTTAAAAATATAAAAAAGTTTTTAATAAAATATGATAACATATGACGCAACCAAATGTTGCGGGGAAAGTTGTACAACTTGCTATTAGAATTTTTTTATACGTGTTTATTATTTATTCTCATAAAAACAGACAGACGAACGATAGGATAAATAGAAGCAAAACCGTATAATTAAGGAATATGATTTTAGTGAACCAATTGGTGATTAGTTGATTTTAAACTGTGTAGGTTTTGCTCTCTCTGAAACAAAATCCTGCGGGCTCCCTTGTTTTCCCGATGAACAAATATTTTTGTAAAGAATTTTTTTATCTGCGCCAATTGTCTCTTACTTTAGATTGTTTCTTATTATTAAAATTTATTACAAACGAGTAAAGAGTGGTTTAAATAAAACAATTATTGTCACTCTTAAAGAAGAAAGGGAAAATTATAACAGCACGTACGTTCAATTATCATTTAACAAAGAATTCTTCTGTAAAAAACAAATATCGTTACAAATTTAAGACTGAGCGAAAGATGCGATTTACATCTAACTGAAGCACAGTTATAAATACATAATTCTACAGGTGATTTATACATATAAGACTTAAACTAATCGCCGTCACAATGAACAATTTCACTTTGGGTTCTACTATTATTATTATGTTTGCGATGATTCTACAGCATTTTTTGAAGTTAAATATAAACTTTAACTATATCTAGAAATCAATTTCGGTAATGTTTCATTCCATTGTATATAATTATCATTTAATTAATTTAAAAATATAATTATTTAGGTTCCTTTTATTCATTTGTATTTTTTCTTTAGAAAATAAGATAAAATGCCTTTAGAAAATGTAAGAAAAGAGATTGCATTTGTCTAAGTAAAATATAATATTCCTTTATGTTTATAAAATACTTTAAAATGTTTCCTGGAATTTAATCGTTCGTTAACTTCAACGAATTGCTATTTTGAAATTATTTCTAAAACAATAAATAGTTTCCTAGTAAATTAAGCTTCATATTTTTAATATTTATAAACTCACTACAAGTGAAATCTCAACTGGATACTACTGGATTCATACTGTATCACAGTGGTCTTTTGTTTACAAACAGAACCGGGATTAGTCGCTCAATACACTGCCAGTAATTAGCAGCCACGCTTCTGTCATGGTATCATTCCAGGTGAATGTCTTTGGTATCTGTCTCCTGAACAAGGTGTCAGAACCTGCTCGTCATGTATATGTACCCTGACGTATTCACTGCTGTAACACCTTGTCACAGTCAGGTCAGACTAGCTATGTTAGCGGGCAATTCGACGAAACAATCGTACTGCATCCCTTATCTCGATGATGATACTATTGAATACAATCGTACCCAGCATAATTGGTTAGAAGGGCTTTTCTATACTGCGACAACGTTATAGACCGGGTTACTGAGATCGAAAGGATCACACAGTTAGCGGAAGCCTTAGGATATAAGAGAAATATTATAACGGGTATTGTTAAAAAATTTGAGAAGAATAATGATAAAGCCTCCAGACAAGGTCCATCTAAGTACACAAAATTTACATTCAACAAATATTTAGGGGAAATTATGAAGGAAATTCCAAGCGTTAAAGATTCAACGGTGATTTTGAAAAGAGCTCCCAATTTATATAAAATTCTTAGAAACGATAAAGGGGTTATTAAAAAAGAAGATAAGGCAGGTGTTTACAAGGTTCCCTACGAGAACCAGCTATTAGGAATAAAAAAAGATTACGTAGTAGTTACTACCAGAAACCTCGGGGTAAGGATTAGAGAACACAAGTATGATGCTAGAAAAGGGTCTAATACGACAATATTGGCCCAGATGGCGCAGGCCCAAGGATCCCTGGTTGGATGGGAGGAAGCGGAAGTCGTGAGGCAAGTACACTCACCAACTTTGGCGAGGACGGCCGAAAAAATGGAGATATTCAGGAGGAAACTTAAAGACGGCTGCATTAATGCTAGGGATGCGGAAGGTCTTCCCTCGGCTTGGAAATTTGCCGTTAAAAAGCTTACAAGTAGCGCATCATCTGAAATATGATATTTAATTGATTTAAAGGAAACGTAGTATTAATGTTTAGTCGTTGTAGTATATTATTTATTATTTGGTATCGTTTACAATTTATTTTTATTCTTATTAATTGTTATGTTATCAGTTTATTGATATTTTTGAATTTTTGAACTTATTGTTCCATTTATGATGTATTCCATTTTCATATATTCGAACCTGATGATGATCCGTTAAGTGGATCGAAAACGTTCGTTTTTAATAAAACTCCCTCAGCAAGCAATAAGGTGTTGGTTGCTGAGGGAGTTTTATTTGATGATTTATTTGATGACCGTTATTTGATGATACTATTTTCAAATGCCCTCATCTGTGCATGATCTGTTCGACTGCAAACTGCAAGTATGA